TACATGTCTTTCTCTGTTTGACTTATTTCACTCAACATAATACCCTCCAGTTCCATCCACGTCGTTGCAAATGGCAAGATCTCATTCTGAATGAGTCAGTATATTTAATTATTTAATTGGTATGCCATGTTATAATTTATATTACTTCATCTGGATTGATTTTGATATTGTGCCCTCCTATTTTGCACTTTCACTTTCAGGACGAAGTTCTTAGCCTATATAAAAAGCAGTCTCCTGTGGGCCTAGCTCCAACCTACCTACACACCTCCATTCAAACTTTAAATTGCAATCTTTTAAATTATTAAATATTTAATATTTAAACTATTTAAACCATTGCATATTTAAACTGGTAGTTCCTCTGCATTCAGTTTCCTAAATTTGAAATCCCACTCTTCCTTTGGTCCTCACTGCCCCCCTCAATTCCTGACATTTACAACACAATTTGAAGGCTTTCCCCCAAGCCCTTAGGGTAGGGCTCGCCAGCACCCTGTGTGTATCCCTATCACAGCACTCAGTTGCTGGTTTACGGGGCTAGTAAACTGAGTTTCCTGAGGACAGATTTAGTAACTTACAGTATTTGAATCTCCCGTAGTTCTACAGTACCAGGCAAACTGGAGGTCTCAATAAATGTGTTGGAATCCATGGAAGGGTGAGGTGGGAGGATTGACGGATGGGTCAGAAAACGAAATTTCAAAGCATTAAACTTCGTAAATTGTGGGGACCACCGTAGCTTAACTGCGTTGCGGGTGGGCAGAAGCGCCATAGAGGTGAGTCATGGGATGGCAATGAGGTCATAGAACTGTGAGGCCAAGGTAAGTCATTAACATTTAACATCTGCTGGCAAAACTGAGGCGCAGAGCAAGGAGTAGCAGGACTCCAGGGTCTCCAGGACCTGGAATTTGGTCCAGGCCCCACTTTTCAAGCATCAACCCGCCCGCAATAACAAGAGGCTGCAGAAGGGGCCAAGAACCGTCTGGGCCTAGCTGTCCCCGAAAATCCCTCCCTTAGGAAGGGCTCAACACTACCCTGCAAAGGAAGGCGCAACCGGAAGGGGCGGGGATCCACCCGGACGCGGAGCTTCCGCCACCATGGCTTCTCGTGGGGTCGTTGGCCTTTTCCTCCTCTCTGCTCTCCCCTTCTTGTGTCTGGAGCTCCGGCGTGGGATCCCCGATCTAGGTAAGTGTTGGCTTTTTCCTTCTGGCACTCACATCCGCGTAACTTTCCCATGAATGTTGCGTCGAGTTCCTGTCTCGCGGCCGCCTCCCCTCTGGGCGGCTTGGACTACAATTCCCAGGCTACTGTATCGCGCCCGCCTCTCTCTTCCGGCGCCGGTCCCCCGCCGGGTCTCCAGCCGCTTTGGGGAGGCCGACCGCTTTTGGCGGAGAAGGTGTCCCTCCAGTTTTGCGTGCAAGGCGAGAGGCTGGCGGGGAGCACAGGAATAAACATAGACACTACTTCCAGATGGTTTTGAACGCTCACAAGGGAATAGGGTGGTGTGATGTAGGCCTTCTGAGGAACTTAAGGAAATGATACGGAGCCAGAGTCAAAAACATTTCCAGACAAAAGGAATTGTGACATGTTAGAGGAAAAGGATGAAGACCACTGTTGATGGATCAGGGTGACTTAAGGGGAGAGTGGCTCGAGATAACATTCACGGAGCACCAGTTATAAGCCTAACTCTAAGTGCTGTTATCTCATCCACTCTGTATTATAACTGTGGGGGTGGGTACTATTATAATCCCTATCTTACACTTGAGGAAACTGACACGGAGGTTAAGCGCGTCCCTAAGGTTTTAAGAGTCACGGGAGGAGCGCCTGGCTAGCTCAGTCGGTGGAGCATGCGACTCTTGATCTCAGGTGGGAAGGATTACTAGATAGATAGATAGATAGATAGATAGATAGATAGATAGATATAGTCAGTCCCTGGATTCTGTGGAGAATGTTTTGGAAGGAGCCTGTAGTGGAAGCAGTGAAGCAAGTGAGGCTCTTGAAGTAGGCAATTAGTGTTGATGGCCTGGACTAGGATGATAACATGAAATGTGCACAGATTTGGAATATTTACAAAGTAGAATCAACAGGATTTGTGGATGGATTAATGGAAAGGAGGGATTCAAGAATCACTCCTACATGTGAAGTTGAACAACCCTAAGTAGTTGATAGTGCCAGTGATAAAGGGAAAACTGAGAGGAAAATGGTGGACTTGCAGAGAATCAGTCCATTTTTGGATATGTTAGTCATGGGTTTACATGCATGTCTTCCTCTTTATGTTCACTTTTAAAGTTAGAGACCATGATGAAACTTAGCTTTGTATATTTCCTCTCTCTCTCCCCACCCCCAAAAAGTCAGGTACCCAGAAATGTTGCTGGAAATAAGAACTTAAAATAAAATGCTTTTTAAAAAATATCTGCAAAGTCCCTCTAGAAACCTCCTACTCACTCAGGCTGTATTGGAATCTAACAAGACCTTTATCCAGATGACATAAGGAAATGTTAAATTCACACTTACTTATTCCAGAATTTACCTGTTCCCTTGCCTTTACAGTATCCACTGTAATTTAGATTCTCTTCTACTTTGCACTAATGTTTGAGTCACTAGTCAATGAGAAAGTGGTTGCAGAGGGTTGCAGAGGGAATTCTGCTCACATAATAAGCTCTATCAGGAAAATACAGTTCTTGAAGGCAGAGCCTACATCTATTTTGTTTTTGTGTTCCCATCACTTATCACAATGTCTAATTAATTTACTTATTTATTTATTTATTTTTTAAAGATTTTATTTATTTATTTGACAGACTGAGAGAGCACAAGGCGGGGAGGGGCAGAGAGGGGGGAGAAGCAGACTCACTGCTGAGCGGGTAGCCCGATGTGGGACTCGATCCCAGGACCCTGAGATCATGACCTGAGCCAAAAGCAGACGCTTAACTGACTCAGCCACCCAGCTGCCCCCCATAATCATTCTTGAAGCCTCCTCTCCAAAACTATAACATACAATATTAGTACATGTCAGAGAACTTTTGTTTCAGGACAGGCCTTTTCTTTATAGATTTTACTTGTAGATTTCTTTGTTTGAACTATCTGCATATATCTCATTTTCATTATTTCAAAAATTATAGTCTGTTTTTTGAAGGCTTGTCTCTCCCAAAATGTTTTATCTACAGAGTATTTTCAGAGAAAAGAGCATTCAGTTTATCATAGTTGGGAATTAAAAAGCACTTTTATGTTTTGCTGTCCTAGAAGAAGAAGAGAAGAATGAGAAAAGGCAAAAACTTGTCAGAAAAAAACAACAAGAGGCACAGAGTGAAAAGGTAAAGTATAATTTTTAGAGAGTATATGTATATAGAGAGAGAATATCTGGAGCATCTAAAATTGAGGTCTATTGCTTTCTGTGTTTGTGCTCAGATTTTTTAATTATTGAGGTCAAATTCACATGACATAAGATTACCAAATAAAAAAAAAAACCAATTTAAAATGTACAGTTCAGTGGCATTTAGAACATTTATAGTGTTGTGCAACTACTATCTCAAGTTCCAAAACATTTTCTTTACCCCAAAAGAAAACCCCACACCTATTAAATAGTCACTTCCCCATTCCCTGCTCCTTCTGTCCTCTGGTAACCCCCAGTCTGCTTTCTGGTTTGTTTGTTTTTTTAAGATTTTATTTATTTATTTGACAGAGAGAGACAGCGAGAGAGGGAACACAAGCAGGGGGAGCGAGAGAGGGAGAAGCAGGCTTCCTGTGGAGCAGGGAACCCAATGCGGGGCTCGATCCCAGGACCCCGGGATCACGGCCTGAGCCAAAGGCAGACACTTAACGACTGAGCCACCCAGGCGCCCCATCAAATAAATAAATCTTAAAAAAACAAAACAAGGGGCGCCTGGGTGGCTCAGTCGTTAA